AATTTTTAAGGAAGTACAAATTCCTTTTTGATTTTCTGTAAACGGGAAATTCCTTGGCGGGTCTGCACCGAGTGGCGGCGCGATCAGATTGTATGGGGCTTGACCCGGCTCATGCTTGTGAGAAATTTCTGGTGAACGTCTCCGATTTTCGGACCTTCCTACCAAAACTTCGTGCCACCACTGTCTCTGCCTAAATCAAAATTCTTACTGGCATAAGCAGAAGTGTAATCTAAAGTAGAAACTGTCAAAGTTGATTTAAGTGTAATATGAGTGTCTTTACGTGACGCTCTTATACCTACACTGATTGCAAAACAAAAAGATGAATAAGTATTTGGTCTAATAATAATAATAAAGAATAAGTATCTCTCGGTCAAGTTTTTGAGGTCCTCTACTTTTTATTTTTTATTTTTTCTAAACCCACCTGGTAATATGTAATCGGCACGCTGATGTTCAATTCAAAAACAATCGATGTTCTCTAAAATGTCAATGTGTAGAGCAGTATAAATCAAGCGGAAGTGTGTTTAGGCATGTAATAGCCTAGTATACTATGATAGCTGAAAATAATATCTAATTTCGATAATGTTTCCCTAGATGCCTCGAAAAATAATAAATGTTTTACGAAAGATCTTTAAGAACAAGCATATCAATATTTCACTAGATTTCCTATGATTCACTTTTGACACACTTAATTTTCTCCCTAATTTTTTAAGAGAATGATATCTTATTCCTGTAGATGAGACTATTTTTACTATTTGTAAGTCTGAAGAATAAGTGCAATAAAATGATTTTATTTTCGTTAAATATCTATCAATGCATTACGTGTGCTAAGTGATGGAATCGTTGGCAAGCCGGGAAAGAGGGCCGGGAGGGGCAATATTTTTAGAGTAGTGCATACACAAACTATAAAAAAAATAAAAATATATAATTCTCAATATAATTCTTCACAGGACAATAGCTGCTTATATTGCCCTGGATATTTCTTTCCAGGATGCTGGCGGCCCGCCAATGGTTGGAATTTGATCTTTGTCAATTATTCGTCGTCTCGGTAAACTGTATTTCGGATGATTTAATGTCCACATCCACTGAGAGAGAATAATTGGTGCGAGTCCGTATTAGAAGTGTTAGAAATGGTTTGGTAAGGATTACTTCAATTTACCTCAATTTTCTTGTTTTCCGCCAAAAAGGGTATTTCGATGTCCCCTAGCCGAGGAAGCCCCGTAAACCTAAAATCGATAGGGGATTCGGATGTAGAGTTTTACGCTGAATCCGAATATGAAATTAGAAAAATTACAACAGCTCAAACGTTTTTGAAAATGAGCAAAAGCTGGTGAAAATCGTGTTGTTTGACGGTATTCGCCCTCGATGACCCAGTCGGGAACCTCACCGCAAGGCCAACGTTTTAAACTTTTTTTACGTTTACTTGGCGCCCTCTAGTGCATTTAACTCTTTTCTTTTAATTCTAGTAGATTAAACATGTACAGCATGATGTCTGCTTTCCCTTAGTTGCGTCTCTATATATCTTTGAAATATTTGTGAAATTAGCGTTTACTTCTCTGTTATGACTGGTTCATCCAGGAAGTACCTGTCGACCATTTTTTAATGTTTTGCGGACAAACACAAACCCACGCAAGTCTTTTGTAAGACCGTTTGACTATGACTAAAGTCAAGAGAGTTCTTATGTGAGCGTTTTCAAATGATGTGAAGCTAGTAGTAGACCAAAAAACAAAACATGCCAAAAACCAAAAATGACAATTTTTTGCTGATAGTAGTTTGAGTTTGCAAATGAATCTGTAATATGTTATGTTCCCGCACGATTTCATTGTTTTAAATACTGATCCTCTCGATTTATGTTGTTTACTCGGTGAGAATCGTCAAACATCCTCGATCTGTAATATCAAGAACCCAGATCAAAAGAGGACAGAAGCGATGAATGTTACTAAAGTTAGAGGAATAAATCGATGGCTATGGAGCATACAACTCAGGACAAATAACAATAAAAAGAAAATTAAAACTAACTATATAACCAGTCCTTTAAAACTAAAACATGTTAACATATTTTGCTAATCTGATATTGGTATTTCTTTAACGTTCTCTATTTTATTTTTCAGAGAAACTTTATTTTTGTACTGTTTATCACTGTCATGAGTGACACACCTACACCACAAATAATTGATCCAAACAGTGTCATAGTAAAGAAATCTTCAACATCGTCCGAGATTGAAGTATTTCGTAAACCATTGCCACCATCATTAAAACATCAAAAACGAAAAATTCTTGACGAAGAAAAATATGTACAAGATTTGGCTCATATAATTGAACGGGATTTTTTCCCAAATATTAAAAAACTAAAGGCACAGCAGACATATCTCTCGGCATTAGCCACTAATGATGTTGTGACGTTAAGAGAATTATACTCCAAATATAGTATTTATCGTGGTCCATCGCCATCTCCAACAATGGGTGCAAAAGGTAAGTTCCATAGACAGGCAATAATAGTGTATATTGAGTATGGATTTATTCTACTAGATACACCGTCAAGTTCATTTGAAACTCCACTGGAAAAAACTCATGATACTCCAACAACGCGAAAAGATGAACATCCAAAAGAACATATAGAAGATGAAAATAATTGTGATAATGATTCAGCATCAACAATCACAACGACAAAGAAAAGTATGTTTAGCATCTTATTCTTTGATTTATATAAAATTCTATATCGTATTCCATTTTCTTAGAAAAAGCACGTGATCTAACATTGGACAATTATTTAAATTTACATACGAGTGAAGATAATGTATCATTTGATCAATTAATGGAGGAAGCAGAAAAAAAAGAAAGAACAAAGTTACAACAGTCATGGTTATTTGAGCAGCAACATTTAAAACAACTGGTAAATATATGTGGTTATTTTGATTAGATAAAAGGCAGCAGAAAACGGTAGAAAATAAGTCGTAAGAAATCGTGAATGTTTGCTTTTTGCTATTTTTCTGATTTTGTTTATTTAGGAACATGAGACACAAGTGGCATTACCTACGGTAGAACAACAGGCGATCACGAATAATCCAGGGACGATAGTAACATGGCCGTACACTTCAAAAAATGCTGTGATGTATTATCCAGAAGGTGAGCTGTCAAAACTGCGTCTGCGCACAGTTGCTTTAATTTGTCCTTTATGTGTATCTTACTATCTAACTTCGTTTATTCTTAGGATGCGAACTGACGACAGCTGAAAAGATTGAACAAGCCAAATCTGTTCGCACTATACAACATCATAATACATGTTTTGCCCAAGATCCATTTGCTGTAACAGATTCAACATCGAAAACTCCTGTATCTCGTGCAAAAGCCGTTCAAATTGATATTGACGGTACCGAAATCAAATCAGATGAAACTCCTAAAGTGAATGGTTATGGATTTGTTGTAACTCCATCGCCAATGCCTGGTCAGCACGGTGACGAAAGTCCTATGATGACATGGGGTCAAATAGAAGGTACACCGTTCTGTCTGGATGCTGATACGGCAACAATTCATGGACCATCATTTAAAATTAATTCAACACCGCTACGAGAACAATTAGCGATGGAATTAGTTGAAAAGGCGTCACAACAACATCGAAAACGAAAATTAGAAGCAATTAAAACAATAAATAAAAACTTCTTGACTACAACAAAACAACAAACAAAACAAGAACTTGTATCAAATATGTCACCCGCAGCTCAACGTCTATTAACATTACGTTTAGGTGTGAATAGAACAAATTCATCATCAATAAATAGTCGATCAAACATATTCACACCATCACCAATTAATCGTTCATCCCATGGAAGAAGCCCAAGGACGCCTTCAAGTTTGGGAATAATAAAAAATAGTCAGTCATCTGTACCGATTCAAGGACTTACGGATAATTTACTTAATTTAAGACATTGAACGATTTGTGACAAAACAGTGTTTCTAATTTTTGAAAATTTTTTTATTTACTCTAAAATAAAAATATGTACAGCATGGTTGAAATTATATTAAACGCTTAAAAAGTGACTATTTTGTAAAAGAAAGTAATTGATTTTATCTACTTTTTTAGCAAAAGAAAATTATTGTACAAGTTTATTTATTAGTACTCACTCAATAATCCAGTTACTTAGTTTATTTTTAGTCGAACTCGAGTATGAAAAATTGATATCCTAATCTTTCTGTGTTTTCATATGATCGATTTTAACAGAAATTTGAACGGAAATAATTGATCTATTTTTTCGTTTCATTTTAATGTTGATTTCATTCTCTTTGTAGCCGCTTTGGTTAAAATGCAAAACTTTTGCTTCGTTTCTCATATACTAAAATATTCTAAAAACATTTCGGCTAGTTAAACGCTGATCAATGGTAAAAAGTTAAAAAAGAACAAAGAATGTTTAACAACATGAAATACTCAGCTGATTAAAATACATTTTAAATATGTTAACTATGTGTGTCATCTAAAAAGTTGTGACAATTGTGCTCATTTTTGGTTACTTTTGCACCATTTGAATATCTCTTAAACAATTTTAACAAATAAAGAAGTGAAAACAAATTTATACACATTGAGTAATTTAACAACACGAGTTTTAGTTGACACTATACCTTCGTTTGCGGATAAACGTTTGATGTAGCAAAACAAATGGTAAATAATAATTGTTCACGAATCAACCTACAGCTTGATTTTGTAATGTTATCTACGATTTATAGAAGAGAAGAAAATGTTTTGCTAGGAAATCTATTTTCTCATAGCTTTTGTTTAATATGTAAATGTTTATGATTCTTTCTTATCATTTATATACAGGACGTTGAGAAGTAAAAGCACTGAAAAATACATTTTGAAACTACCTACTGTTAGATTCAATAGATGAGATCGTCCTATTCTATTCAATAAAAAGATTGTTGTGTCCAACAGAGCTTAATTCAGCCAATGTACAGTAAATTTTAAAATAAAGTAACGATATACCAAATTGTCAACTAGACACCTACTACGATCTGTTTTGGAAATTTTCCCAAAGTTATTTTCTGATATTGAAACGTTTCGATAAGATTTTTTCTTATATAATTTTTCGCCAAGATTTACAGTGTACACTCAGTTTTTCTAATGAATATAATAGGTACAACATATTTTTTTCAATGTTTTTCCTTGTGAATGTCTTGTACACATAAATTAAAAAACAATCCTAAACGTTTACATATCAAACGAAAGATCTGAGAAAAGGGACTACAATATGATATATTAGTAAACAATTTTCTTCTGAACATAACAATATAAATGACCAGAATCATGTTGTAGAGATTTACTCTCAATCATCGAATCCAAGAGCATGATAACATTTATATATTTAACCCGGTTAAATATATAAATGTTATAATAAAGAAATCAAAGCGGCTTTGATTTCTTTATGTAGACGTAGTAGCGGAGTTTCTAATCATGTCATAGCAAATTGAAGAAACAACATTCAGCTGGAAATATATTCAGTTTTTGAGGATTTTCTCGGTATTATCATTTTTCTTGCGTTTATTTCAACTGAAGATCTGAGGACTTTGATTAACCGATGTTAGAGTACTCAACAGTTGAGCCAGCCTTTTTACAAACATATGGCCGCTACTTTGAGCTTTTTTTTGAACTCATTCACTATAGTCTTTCAACTGTAGTCGAAGTTGTTCAAAATGTACAAGATATTTTCTTGTATATAACTTTTCATTAAATTAGCGTTTATCTAATAATAATTCATCTGTTTGAATTTTTCTCTTTTCGATCAAATATAAATGACAGAACATTATATCAACCACTAAGTAAAACTGTGTCCAAAATAATTGGAAACTTTCAACTTCACATTGGATTGCAACAACAAAGGTAATGTGTGTTATCTTTTCACTCGGTGTCACTATCCTTATCTCCCTCCTTCCTGATGAGAATTGCAAAAAACCTGTTCATTTTTGTTGATCGAAAGAAACGTCACACTGAAAACATCAACTGACGATCGCTCTAATGTTGATTGACAGAGAAAGCTGTGAATATTATCCATAATAACAGAGAATAAGGTCGTATTTGGTCCGCAGCGTAAATCATACTGTTAATAAACAGTTTCTCCAAACCTTTTCTGTCTCTCTCTTTCAAATTAGCAAAAAAAAAGAGTTTGATATAGAGATAGTTTCGGTCTACGTTGAAATGAACGTTCTACATAAAAAACAGGGTAAAGTCAAGAAAAAATGAGTAGAGATACATTTTATTCCGAAAAAGAAATATTTCTTTCTATATAAAAGTTTAAAATTTCATACTTTAGAACATGATCTATGTTTTTTTCACCCATCACAGTATTGAGAGGAGAATATATGTTCATTGAGTTCCCAGAGAAAAAGAACGGAACGGATATAAAAAATGAAATACAAGAGTTTTTCTTTTTCTCTTTATTCTTCTTCTTCTTATCATGTACACTTTTTTGAGTATGGTCTATCTCTCGCCAACACTGAATATGTAATATCGACTCATTAAACACCACTAAGAGAATTTTGTGGGTTTTTTTTTCATGAAAAAATAAATGAGAAATTTTGCTTGATACAAATGATTAACACCAGAAATGAATTGTATTCTACTTTTTAATTATCTTCTTATTTTACTTACCACAACACTTTTATCAGTTGGTCTTATCACGCCATATTGGCTGGTTTATGATGATCATTTTTATGGTATAACCGAGTATTGTATACGACTATACCGAATTGGAAATACTGATAGATATTCAAATTTAACAAAATCATCAATTGAAGCACATTTATGTTCAAACAATATTGTTAAATGGTATAAAAATGATTCACAATCAATTTTGCCTGGTAAGAATAAATTTTTTTCATCACAAAACAACAACTCATTTTCTAAGACTACTTCTGATTATTTACTGCCATCTTACTATACAGCATGTTAAATCATTGCATATAAACGATATGAGTATTGAATTTGCCTTCATCTTTCGTTCACCAGTTAATATTAACAACTATACTGGACAAGCGTATGACAATTTGCTATAGATTTTTATATCTACGATCGTACGAAGTCTTCAATTATTTGAATTATTTCTCTTTATTTGGGAAACATCGTTCACGTGCGCATCAATACAAATATCAATGAAGCAACAATTTGCTAGATTGTTGAATTTCTTCTACTCTATTCAGATAGTCTAGTACTTCCTAAATACAAAGGACATTATACAAAATTTGTTTTTACAGAGAGTAAGCAAAACACAGGCCAGTAACTATGTTTGGATGGCATTACATGCTAATCTTTGAAAAACTTTTAACAAGTTCTTTTTCTTTATTTCTTTTCTTGCGCATATTGTCTTTCTTCTTCTTTTTTTTCTGCAATGATGATTAAAAGTCATTATCTTAATTTATAAAAATGACTGAAGTTCATCCAACATAAGCTTTCTTTTCACTCATTATGGCTCATTACATGCAATCATACGGTTTTTCACCTTTTAGAATCGAATAGTACTTCTACTTTTTTTTTTTTTCATTTACCATATGTATGGTTTGGGTTTGAATACATATGAATAAGTCTTTTTGTTAGATCAGAATATGTACAGTCACCAATTATACAAGCAGCGACCTGTGAGTTTAAAGATAATGATGCCGAATCATCACGCCCAGAAGCAAATAGTTTTTTATGACAAGACACGACAGAAATAATGTACATATTTAAAATACTTGTGCATGAATTATCCACAAATTAGTGACAGAGGAAAAAAAAGAAATATTTCCGTTTCTATAATATCTCTCATCACCATATCAAATAAGAAAATATTACCAAATTGGATCCGGGGTATAGGTTTGTCATGAGAGAAAAGAAAACAATTCATAGAGGAAATATTGTATAATAAACGATTTAAATGAGGTCAATTTAACAATAAAATAGCTTTAATATGTAAATAATGTCTAAATGGCGAATAAATAAACGGATGTTTATTTTACATAATTGGAACATAAACGACAGACTTGTCGTGGAAAAATTTAAACTTCACCTTTAACTTTAAAAACTTTAAGCTTTAGACGAAGAATGATTTTAAACAACAAGAACTATATAAAATGATCAATGATATAGTTATTGATCTAAATTGTGAAAGCACCATTTTATGCACTTGAAAATCGAAAAAATTGGTATATTAGCTGACTCGGTTGAGCAGCAAGAAACTAGTAACAGATCCTATATAATTTTGTTTTTTGATAAATTAGTCAATAATACTTTATGCACAATCGATTAAAACTGTCTTTTGCTGTACTTGCTACCAGATTGTGTCTGCCAGTAGCCATTTCGGAATTTATTTTTATATAGAGATTTGGTTAAATTTCTAAGTCTTCTCAAATTCTGAATTAAACTTTTTTAATCAGTGTCCGATCTAGATTGATATAAGAACCTTGTCAGAACTGTAGAGAGTCTTTAACGATGTAAAATTTCTGCATTATGAGAGATACTTTGTAACACGACTAATTAAGCACAGTCAATCAATGAGATAGAATCTTTAATAAGAAAACTTAAAAATTACCACTATGAATTCTATTTTTAGATTATAAAAAAGTATTGATTGGTGTTTGTATTGCATCTGTATTTATATCTGTTGTTGCCTTAATTTTAACACATATTACTGTCTCATTTCGCGACTTAAAATTATCAAAACGTGTTGCCGAATTTTTACTTGGCTCATCCATTTTAACAGGTAAGTTTTTTATGTATATAATATGCTGTGTGTAGAATTTCTTAGACTGTCTTTGGAGAATAAAAAGGATTGTATTAAAGCTTTGAGACTAAAGTATCTGTCTTCTTTCGTTTTAGTTGTTCTTGCGTTAGTGGTCGTCGGTCTATTTCTTGGATTTGAAAAATTGCAATTAATTAGTAATTATGGTTACTCGTTTTGGGTTTATGTAGCTGGTTCAGGAACGATGTTTATTTGTTGCATTCTCTCTGGAATCTATCGAATTGATGTTGAATTTGAATTTCGAAGATATCGTCAAGATTCTGTGGCAACATTATGTTAAGACGAAGTAAAAAACCTGGTGATTTTGATATTAACAACTTATTTAGACACAGCTTCGTCAATTTAGTATTATCATTGATTAGTTTTGCTTGTTTTCGTTAATAGATTTTTTAAATATCCTCAGCTTTTCGTAATAAATTCATCAAAAGTTATAGCAAACTGCTTAAATTTGAGCTCGTGACTTTTTACATGTGGACTTTTACACTTTTCGCAACTAGATTAATATTACACACCTCCCCGTTTATTGATGATTATTTTTATTCGGATATACTTATTTCTAAAAAGAGCGACGCACAAGCTGGCGACCGGGTGTGGTTTTAGTTCTAATTTTAATCTGTTTATTATTAATTCACCTCTCATTTTTACGAAACTCCGTGAATACTCTTCTTCTTTGAAACGAGCAAATATACTGACTTGCGCTAACTCGTTGTGCAGTCTATTACAATCTATTGTTTCGTTCTAGTCAAATTTAATGAGCAGTGCAATGAATGACAGCATTCTTCCAGAATCTAAAATGTACGCCTAGCTTGAACTGTCTTAAAGAAAGCAGCGGTGTCTATCCCCACCTGAATATTTAAGGCATTTTGTACCACTGAGATGCAGATTTCATAGGGTATTAGTCCGATCTGAATGAAAACTTTCAGGGAATGTTGCTCTTATCTAAGTACACTTACGATAAACTTTTCTACATTCTACCTATCAACATTCACGGAAGGCCACCATTATATTAGACAAAATCGAGCATTTAACATTAAAAGGATTCTTCGTCAAAGTCGAATTTTTAGTTGCTTTAAAAAGTTTTTGGAGGCAGCAAAAATCGACAGCTTAAAATTTCTTAAAAATCTTTTTGACAATAATGCGAACTCTGGAGAAACACATGTTTAAATAAAAAATCGGTCTCTATCATGTCATTGTCCTGAGTTTTCGCTTCACTTTAAGATCAATCCAAGCTCTTCATCGCTTGATCTCACAGAGGAATCTTTGCAACGGTGTTTGTCTTCCGTAGAAAAGTCTTCTGTGAGCAAAGTGGGGCTAGTGTATGATATAGGTTTTATGGTTTTTAAAACCTTCGGAAATCTTTGATATAATGCAAACATAGGATATTCTAAGAGTATAAACACTGGACTACCTGACCATGCACTTAGCTTCATATAGACTCTTACAGAGAAATCGGACATGGCGGGAGACTTTGACGCTAGTTCTTAGTAAGATTCAAACAGATTCTGATCCCATTTGAAAAAATTGCGGGCAAAGAAATCGGCATCTTAATAAGATTTTAGCAAAATGTTATCGAATCTTAAAGTTTTTTGGATCTTTGTTTTTTGCTTTTAACGTTAACGAAGATCCCCTGCAGCGAGAAAGAGGTTTTAATTTATATCCAATTTTGATGAAACTTTCAGGAAGTATATATAATATCAAATTATGTTTGAAAAATAATTTTCGGCTCGCTACCTATAACGGTTCCCAAAATTCGACCAAAAGCCTCTGTTATCACACAAAATTCCTAGGAAGTTATATACTGTGCCTTGTAGAAACAGACATATGTATTAACTCAAATCTCGTATCCAACTAGTTATCTTTGATTGATTTCGCTGTGTAGTGTATCCCTTTTAAAAGAAGATTCCACTAAGTTTCTGACAAGAAATAAATAGTACTTTTTTTGTCTTGTACAATCCGGTACATAAGTTTAGGTGCATAAGTTTAGCGCTACAACAAGTTTCTATTTCTATTTTTAGAAGTCATAATTTCCAAATAGAAGTTTCCACCACAGCTGCACAATCACTGAGGAATTGAGTATACCTGAGTCCTAAATAATTAATGTATTTGTATTTTGTATTTTGTATTATTACTTAATTAAGCTTTGGCCAATTTAGCTAACTTAATTTAAACACGTTTATTAGTAGACCAATCGACAAATGGCATTGTAGGTCAACGATTCTCGCATGAGAGGAATATACCAACAATACAAACGCATGAATAGAGTTTTAGAAAAGAAAGAAAAAAGAACGTAGATATAAAGCAGTTTAAATGTAATCGAGTATGTGTCTGTGAATAAAGGGAATTAAAGAAACGATGTCGTGTGCGGTGAACGAAACTGAGAGACTATAGTAAACAGCAGACAGAAAATCATCAGGTATGCCCAAATCGGTCCGTTTTACGAATAAACTCACACGCGGCATTGTACAGTTTGTACAGGTTCGTAACAGATACTTGTCGAAGTGAAAGGCCACGAGAAGAAGATGGTTGATATCAATGGGAGACTTTGGAAGTATTTTTCTAAATTGTTGCAGTGATCTGATACACGCAGTACTATATCCTTTACAAAAATAAAATAAAATAATGCATTGTTGTCTCTCTCGTTACGCAAGAACAAAGTGCACTTAGAACTAAGTTGCGCACAAAGAGATCACTGTTTACTTATTATGGTCTCAGTCTCAGGATACGAAAAGCACAAGAAATTTTCAAATTTCGAAAATTTTTGACAAAAGTTAAAATGGTTATAAATCAGTTCAAGGTTAAAAAACGACGGGAAATTTCATGATAGAATCATGAATAGATTTAAAGATATTGACATGTTAGAAGACCCTCTCAAAGTCATCTAAAAGTTGTAATGTGAAAAGAACATAAATTTCTTTTTTGGAACGTAATGGAAGACCCCACTAAAAGTGTTAAAGCTCAGGATAGATTAGAAGATTCAGGTCTATTATTGTGACGACCGCTTTATTTTTTATTAAGAAACGTCTCTTTCAACACCAACAGTGAGGTGACACCTATATCCCAATGCGATATACTTCTACAGTGACCGTACGGATAAAAGACTACGGAATGAAAATATGAAAATAATAATGACATATTTACAACGTGTATAGCACATACGGAAAGAGGAGGCAAGCAAACAAACAAGTAACATACTATGAGCATCTGTAGGAGCATACAGAGCATTTTTTTGCTCTCTCTGGGTATGTCGCACACAGAAATCTGCATGAAAAAGGTGCAAGACATGTGTCGAAAGAAACAAAGAAAGTTTCTTTCCTTCTTCGTTTTTTCTTTTATATATTAAATATTTTTTTATTTTTGACGAGTTGGTTTTTTCTACACACGTATACTTTTCCACATTTACTTGTCGATACCCTTGCAAGATTCTTGTCTCTTGTTATTTTCTACCAAAATCATTAAATTTGTCATCATAGATCAGACAAAATTCTTATTTTCATTTTTAATTGACTTTTTAACTTTTTTTGCAAAAGATTTTTATCTGAAATGACAAGGTGCGTTGATGATAATTTTTTTGTTAACATTTATGCTATATATAACTCCCAACGTTATTATAGGTGCTCATGAGAATTCTTTTAAACATTACAAGATTATATACTATTATACTACTTTCACTTTTTATTTATCGAAATTAAACGTACCTTTTTATCAGGAGAATTTGAAAATAATAAAATAATAACATGAAAAAATACAACTGAAACACAGTACAAACATTGAAAATAATATAGATACAATTGAAGTTTAAAATAAATGCTATCTGTCTATCTATCTATCTATCTACTGCGTATATTAATTCGTTTTTGTTGATGCAGCTTATAATTACTATTAATGTTTTGAGTTGTCATTAATGAGTCAGATCTTTATTGACTATATTTTGTATTTTTGTTTTCTATTTCGTTCTGTCATTATACTCTTGTTTTCTGTTCTTTTTTCGTACGAAATTCTTGTATGGCCGTTTTATTCATCCCTTTTTTCGAATAGTAAGTGCCCCATTGCTGAGAGATGTTTCGTTTATTATCAATCGAGAAATCGATAATTGCATAGATGGATGCCAAATACTCACGACGAAATGTATTTCTCATATATAGTCAAAAATTTTATGACCATCAAAATTTTAACTATCATGTTTCTTGATTGTCAAAAATATGTTTTGCGTCTAACGTTCTACTAGTGTCATTTTTCTGCACAAATGCCTCATGTTCTCCATTCTTCTGTTGAAATTCTTTCTCTGATCGATATATAAATTTTCTTTTCGCGGCATTTGTTTCGTTTTATTTAAATACATTCGGAATGTCGAATTATGTGTAACAAAAGTCGGGATTTTTTCACTACTGTAATTTTGATTTAATCACTTCTATTACTCTGTTTAGACGAGGTATTACAACTAACTGTAGCTACTTACTTAGACTCGTTTTTTTGTTGACTTAGGATCGGGTCGATTCAATGACTAACTGATTAGTCATTGAAATGTTAACCGACAAGCAAATAGATACGAAGTGAGAGTCATAACAATAACAATATATAACATTGACATACTTCGTGCTGCGGATAATAATCACAAGATTCTTGTCGGGAGACAATCTCGTCTTTACATGCGTGTATGTTAGAGCTAACTCCTCTTACATAGTATACATAAACCGATAAGAAAACTAAACCTGGATCATATAAGTATTTTTTTCTTGTAAGATGCTTGAAAAAACTTACTTTCTAAATTCGCAAGAAAGTGATTTTCTGCAAGATGGGACAAAAATACATGTAAAATATTTTACAACATCCCTATCTGAAATGGCAAGAAACAAGAGTCTTACAAGAATATCGATAAAAAAAAGTAGACTAATGTGCCCCTTGAATCAAATGCTTCGCTATGTCGACATATGCGAGATAAAAACAATGCATACTGTATGCACATAGTACTATTTGAGCCATTTGAGTACACGTTTTTACTCATATAGTCATATTATTTAAAATTACCAACAATTTAATTTTCAAAGAATTTTTGAACAAATTAAATCAAACGTATCTTTCTTACGATCTTGTGACATTTTTGATTTATAAACAGTCGAATTTATAAATATTCATAAATACTTTACTGTAAAATTATTCAATGTCTTTATTGTTCTTGAATAAAGTGTATTGTTAAAAATTCTTTGAATCAAAGTGTTTTTAATTTTTTGTATTTTATATTATTTTTATATTATGACGGTAAATATTTATTTTTTACGGTAT